TGGCTGAGTGACGAAGACGACGGGCCCTTCCTCGACCCCGTGCTGCGCAAGAGGGCCGTCAAGGTGAAGCATGTGAAGAGGAGGGAGAAGAAGTCGGAGAAGAAGGTGAGGAGCTGCTCCAGCCGGAAGAGCCCGCAGACTCTGTGCTTCCTTTCTCCCCTTCCAGGGAGCGAACGATTCCGGTTGCCAATGTGTGCATTTCTGTGTGCTTTCGGCGTCCAAGAAAACCTTCCTCTCCGATCGATGTGTCTTGGGAGCATGAAGTACACCCATCCCCCAGCTTAAAAACGTGCTGCGACATGACAAAAACGTGCATTGTCATTCCTGTTTTTCTCCGTTTACGAGCGCCACGCAGAGAAGGCCACCCCGACCTCCCACAGCGCAGTTCACCCACACAACTGCGCTCGGAGAATTTCTACACAGCTCCTTCAGTCCATTTGCCTCGTTAGCCTGAGGTACATTAGCAGCAGGGATCTCACTCTTGACGATTCAGCCTCCAGTGAGGTAAACATTGGTAATGCTGAATTTGTGAACCCTGGGCCTGCGCATTTCTGCGCCTCCAATGCGTGCATGATCATATGCGCTCTCGGTGGTTACGGGTTGAACATAGTTCAGTTTTCGCTCAAGGGAAATCGCTTCCTTCGCAGCCGAACAGAAGGTGCCCCCCCCCCCCCAGCGCGTGGTCCCGGCCCTTCTTTTCGAAAGACGTTTCACTGAAAGTTTTCTCGTCTCTGCAAATGACTCGCGTGCGTTCATCCGATGTGTCCAAAAGCACCTGTCTGCACCTAAGAGCTGAAACTTGGCCTCTCCCTGTCGCCTCCTGGTGCAGTTTTGGGAAGAGGCCTCCTGGTGCAGTTTTGGGAAGAGGCCTCCTGGTGCAGTTTTGGGACTGCGTCTTTATTATCCCCAAGGGGCAGCTTGTTTTACAGCGGGAGTCAATAGAAAGAAAGCACACAGACATGCAGTGCACATATACGCAGCCAAGAGAATCAGCTGTTGATCAAGGTTATGAACCTGTTTGTTTTTAAACTGGGAAATCTGTATCTGGGCTCTGAGGGGAGTAATTGGAATTTGTTTAAAAAAGGGTGTGAAGGGTCCTCTTGGAAGGAATATACTTTATGCTAGACTCGTAACTAATAGACGTTTGGTAGGGCCGTCAGGTCATAGCTCCAGTGACTTTCTGACACAGTCTGGCAAGACTCCCCCAGTGTGTACTTACTCCTCAGCTTCAGACCCCAAACCAGCACATCAGGGCAAAAAAGATCAAGCAGATTCTTTAAATGACTGATTAGACATGACCAGCATAGAATCGTCAACCTCAGAATGCTTATAAGTTTCTAGAGGACATTTTTTTTTGAAAGTAGAGTTTCGAAATGTGCTTTTGCCTCGAGACCCCTCGCCCCAGAGTGCGACTTGCTCTGCCGGGGTCCGGTTTCCCCGCCCTCCTCTCACTCTGTCTCTCCTGGCGCACGCGTTCCAGAAGGAGGAGTACAAGTCCCGGCGCCACAAGCAGAAGCAGAAGCACAAGGACCGGGTGAAGCACAGCGAGCGGGCCGAGTCCCGCGATGTGGGCGGCCTGCGGCAGTGCCTGGGGCCCGGCTGCGTGGAGGCCTCGCGCCCCAACTCCAAGTACTGCTCCGAGGACTGCGGCATGAAGCTGGCGGCCAAGTAAGAGCCCCCCCCGGTCCTTCCCGGTCCTTCCCGGTCCTTCCCGGTCCTTCCCGGTCCTTCCCGGTCCTTCCCGCCCCTCCCCGTATCTCTGTCCGGGTCTCGCGCAGGCACAGCGTCGGCAGGAGTTCCCCACTCCCCCGGCGGGGTGGCTGTACGGGAGGGCTGGAGGTCACCCCCAGGAGCCCGTCCGGTGCGCTGCCCCTGTCCGAGGGGAATCGCTCAACTGGGAATCTCCCCGGGCGGAATCGGGATAGGCAGACGGGCTCAGGAAATCCCGGTTAAACAGGGGTGCCCCTAAATCCGGTAGCACAGTGTAAAAGCGCCGCTCGCTCTTCTGAAGGAGAGTCGGTGCACAGTCTGCTCTCCTGTCTCGACGGCGAGAAGCATCTGCTTGATGACTCTCCCGTCCCACGCACAGCGCTGTGAAAAACCATTCAGCCTTTTTCAAACGGTGGTGGTTCAAGACGGCACCGTGTCGGAAATTTTAGTCAAGAAGAAGGACTACCTTCTTTTCCTGAGAGACAGACAGCCTAGGAGCCACCTGCGTGTCCGACCTCTGACCCTTCCGCCCTGAAGGGTGTTTACAGGGGATATTTGCAGAGAAGCAGGACTAGTGACCTGCGGTTTTGCAGGAATGGCTCCTGAAGCAGTCAGTTGCGGGTTGTGCTGCGGACACGCGCGCGTGCGGTGGGGGTCTCTCAGTGGCTCCGCCCCCCTCGTTTGGCGTTATTGCCAGCGTCTCTGTCCGTTGTCCGCAGCCGGATCTACGAGATCCTGCCGCAGAGGATCCAGCAGTGGCAGCAGAGCCCCTGCATCGCGGAGGAGCAGGGCAAGAAGCTGCTGGAGCGGATCCGCCGGGAGCAGCAGCAGGCCCGGCTCCGCCTGCAGGAGATGGAGCGCCGCTTCCACGAGCTGGAGAGCATCATCGTCAAGGCCAAGCAGCAGGTCGTGCAGCAGGACGAGGAGGTGAGGGGGGCAGGGGGTACCGGCACACAGAGAGGGTGAATACAGAGGGCAGACAGCAAGTCGGGGAGGTGAGGGGGGCAGGCCAGGGAGTATTGGCCCAAAGAGAAGGAGTGGGATTCAGAGAGCAGGCAGCAGGTCAATCAGGGAGGTGAGAGAGGCAGGGCAGGGGAGTATCAGCCCAGAGAGAGGGGTGAATACAGAGAGTAGGCAGCAGGTCAATCAGGGAGGTGAGAGAGGTAGGGCAGGGGAGTATCAGCCCAGAGAGAGGGGTGAATACAGAGAACAGACAGCAGGTCGGGGGGGTGAGGGGGACAGGGCAGGGGGGTATCAGCCCAGAGGGAAGGAGTGGGATTCAGAGAGCAGGCAGCAGGTCAATCTGGGAGGTGAGAGAGGCAGGGCAGGGGAGTATCAGCCCAGAGAGAGGGGTGAATACAGAGAGTAGGCAGCAGGTCGGGGAGGTGAGGGGGGCAGGCCAGGGAGTATTGGCCCAAAGAGAAGGAGGGGGATTCAGAGAGCAGGCAGCAGGTCGGGGAGGTGAGAGGGGCAGGGCAGGGTATCAGCCCAGAGAGGGGTGAATACAAAGAGCAGGCAGGTCGGGGAGGGAGGGAGGAGAGGGGGACAGGGGGGTACTGACCCACAGAGAAGGAGGGGGATACAGAGAGCAGGCAGCAGGTCAAGAAGGTGAGGGGGGCTGAAGTTTATACGGCAGTGGATAAACTATACTCTGCTGTAGAAACTTCCTTTATATATATATATGGAGAGAGAGTAGAAGATTACAGATTGGGATGATGAGAAGCAATATCAAGCAGGAGAGAGGAGAGCTCTGAGCCTGCAAGGCACAGCTTCGTTGATAGACACGCAGGACCAGGCGTGAGAAAAGGAGGGAGAGGGGGTTGCTCTTCTTTCTCTAATGTTCACTGATCGGCTCCGATGTCTGTCCCTGTAACTCCCGCTCGTGCCTGCGCAGGTGAATGAGGGCGACAGCGACGACACAGACCTGCAGATCTTCTGTGTGTCCTGCAGTCACCCCATCAACCCCAAGGTGGCGCTCAGGCACATGGAAAGGTGCTATGCCAAGGTGAGTGGCTGTAAAGGTGCACTGAGAATTGTTCCATAAACATTTTCGTAAGATTTGAGAAAGTAATGCTTGTTTTTACAACTGGTTAAGGTGTTTCTGTATTCATAGACCTAGAACAAAACTTTTCTAGCTTTCCAGTGAATCGTTTTTGGGAGCGAGAGTCCCAGTGTCTATATAGTTGCTTGGCAACAAGGAGCTTGTGTTGGAACCTGCGTCATAACATTTAGGTGTTTCATCTTGGCAGTCAGGCTGATCTATACTTCACATCTCACCTGTCTGGCCCTGCAATTGTCAAGAGCCAGAGCTAATCAATAATTAATAACCGATTGCTAAGCAAAATCTAGAGATTGCTGATCTTTTTTTGTTTGTTGGTACTGCTACCCAAAGGAAGTATCTAGCATTTTCCCCTGATTAATTTAAAGTCCTGGTTGTGACAGTTTGTTCTGTGGGTACAGTGGTTCTTCTGTCTGATCCCTGGCTTTTAGCAGCACCTACTGCCAGTAAACTGTTAAGTGTCACTGACCCCACTGTCAGCAGTCACTGTGTCGTCAGCTATTAGTCCTGGTCGGCTAATTCCACCATTTAGTAGTCACAGTCGGCTAGTGACTTGAACCAGGCTCAAACCCACAGTTGTAGACCTCAACCTGTGCTGAACCGCTCCTATCAGTGAATTACAAAATGAGTTCTGGCGTTTCTGCGCGTCTGCTCACAAGTTTTAGGTTGGTGATGGAACAGAAGTTGAGTTGTCTCAGTTCCAACATTGTTCTAAATGAAGCAGACTGCTGTGTTTTTTATTACAGCCTTTTGCCATGTAGCAGTGGAACAGGCGAGCGTGTCTTCAAGTGTAAGGGAACAACTCCTGCAATGCAGCGATCAGTAGCCTCTCTTGACTTCCTGTCGCTGGTGTCACGGGCACTTTGTCCTCTGTCCACTGCCACTGACTACCTGTCTCTGTTTGTGTCCCCTCTGCAGTACGAGAGCCAGACTTCCTTCGGCTCCATGTACCCCACGCGCATCGAAGGGTAAGACCCGCCAGGGGCCTGCGGGAGACCTGAGGGGCGACTGCGAATCTCTGACTGCCCCAGGTGTAATGGTGGTGGTGGTGGTGTTGTTGTTGTTGTTGTTGTTGGGGAGGTTGGTTGCTGTCTACATTCACAGTAACAGCTGGGGAATTATATAAACAAAAAATGACATCCAGCAGCTGTGAAAAATAATCCCCAAAAAGCCGGTGTCACCGCGGGCCAGGGATGTTTCCTTCAAGCCTCCTCTGCGTGCGTCTGACCCGACTGTCTCTTGGCGTGCAGGGCCACCCGGCTCTTCTGCGATGTGTACAACCCCCAGAGTAAGACCTACTGCAAGAGGCTGCAGGTGCTGTGTCCAGAGCATTCCAGAGACCCCAAGGTCAGTCGGGGGAGGGGGAGTGGGGGGGTCACACGGGTTTCGTCCAGGGGGGATACAGCAGGGCCTGCCTGCCCTCGCCGCACTCGTATCGCGTTGTGTCGCGTACAAGATGGCGGCGGTTTTCACAGCAGCAGGAGGGAATGCAGACATTCAGTAGGGGGCGCGATTGGAAAAGACGGATTTGACTTCTTGTCCGGTTTATTTGGCCTGGTTTAATCTCCCGGGTGATCCAGAGCTGGAGTGAAATCCAGAGCCAGGTGCTGCAGCTCTGGCCAGAGGTTTCCTGCCTCTGCAGTGGGAAATCCAAGTGCTGCGCAGAGCAGGGGTCAGCGGCTCTGCACTGTGGCAGGATCACGCCATCGCGCGCTCTCTCTCTCTGAGCTCAGCAAAGCAGACCTGCTCCGGTTCAGTTCCAGTTAACGGAGTGGCCCAGTTTTCCTATACAAACAGATGGGCCCCCCCTGGCCTGAAGGGGCCTGTAGGACAGGGACGCGGGGTGCACCGCCCGCGTCCCACCGTTACGCCCCCTCCTCTCCCTCAGGTGCCCGCGGACGAGGTGTGTGGGTGCCCGCTGGTGAGGGACGTCTTCGACCCCACGGGGGACTTCTGCAGGGTGGCCAAGCGCAAGTGTAACAAGCACTACTGCTGGGAGAAGCTGCGCAGGGCCGAGGTGGACCTGGAGCGAGTCAGGGTGGTGAGCGCAGCAAACCGGCGTATCCTCTCAGCGGCCATGTAATCGGCTCTCAATAATAATAATCCAGTGTGTGATCTCCTGTCCCAGCCTGAGGAACAGACAGTGAGCCTGTCTCTCAATAATAATAATACAG